GCTATGCTTTGGTTAAGCATATTTCTATATTAATCTTGCTAATTATTTTCCATCCGATAAATCATTTTTGAGATATTTTCACAGTTTGTCTTTTTTTTAATATTCTTCATTTTATTTCAAACGTCGACCATTTTGTTTTATTAAAAATATTTTGTTTATATATTATGATAAAAATTTTGACAATTAACTCTTTTTATAAATAAAATGAGTCAATTGTCACGATATTAATAGACAACAACTCACTAGGTTCACTCCCTCCACTTATAAAGACGTAATGTAAAATTTCTTAACAGAATACCATGAGATTCCAAAAATTACGTGAGTGACGAAGGGAGCGCTGTTAGTGCGTAGTGGACTCACGGATTAACAGTGAGTTACAGAATCGCAGGGCAGTATTTTTTGTTCATTACCAATTTCAGCCTAAATTAGGAATTATTTTTCACTTTTTAGTTTGATGTGCTTTAAAAGCGTGTGTTCTAGTTTTTTTTAACTATTATTTATTACAATATTTAATTGCCTTTTGTCATGTAATAAACATGTTCGAGTGCAGATCATGAGTGAGCTGATCTCCGTATTTGTACCTCTAAAAATCTCTATTGGCGATCGAGTTGGCCCGGAGAACTTACCTACCAATTAAATAATAATATACGTGTTCCAGATTCAAAAATAATTAAAAAGTTGAAAAAAAAGAAAAGTTTTTATTATAACGACGTATTTTTAGACGAAAGTAATTGCTCTGTTTTCAAGGATAAAAATAAATATATAGACTATATTCATTCATTCTTTTATTTTTTGTCATAACATTACATTATTGTTTTCGTGAAAATCGTATATACTTTTTTATTTAATTATTTATTTAATAGTTACGTTAATAACACATCATCAAACTTTTACAACAGCCTTTCCTGTGTTTTCTCCAGCCAGCATGCCGACAAAGGCATCATATAGCTTATCAAACCCTTCGGTCACATGGCTTCTTGTTTTTATCTTGCCTTTTTTTATCCACTGTACCAAAGCAGCGATAGCCTCTGGCCACCTGTTTTCTGGTTCTGACCACCTGGATACTACAAAACCCTCCACTTTTAGCTGCTTGAATAAGATGAGCGGCAGCAGTGATGTTGTCTTATACGTGGTTGGGTCTTCATTGTACGAACTAATGCAGCCACAGAGAGAAACTCTTCCATACAAATTCATTTGGTTGTAAATAGCAGCAGTCAGCTCCCCGCCTACATTGTCAAAATAACAATCTACTCCGTTTGGAGCTGCTACTTTTAAAGTTTTACTAACATCCGCAGTCTTGTAGTTTATAGCTTTGTCAAATCCTAGTTCCTTTTCAAGCCATTGCACTTTGTCATCGGAGCCAGCCAATCCAATAACTCTGCACCCTTTGATCTTTGCAATTTGTCCTACAATGGATCCGACGGCACCCGCTGCTCCCGATACAACCACGGTCTCGCCAGATTTAGGTTTACAGATTTCAAGAAAACCAAAGTAAGCGGTGACTCCAGGCATGCCTAAAGCTCCCAAAGCCAAGTCAAGGGGTAGACCATGAAGATCTGGCAATATATATACATTACTGTAGGTTTCTTTTGAATTGGTCACCACGCTGTAGTCACACCATCCCTTATGAGTAACCACCCTGCAGCCAACTGGAAAGTCTGGGTTCTTTGACTCAGTAATTGTACCTACTTGAAAGCCGAACTGGTCGTATGGAGTTGGTGTCCTAGAGTTGTAGGCTCTCAAATAAGGATCGACACTGATCCATTCGGCTTTCACGGAGAAATGACCGTTTTTGAGCTGCGGCAATTCATATTCGACAAGTTCAAAGTCTTCTTTTTTGGGAACTCCTTGAAAATGCCTTTTTACGACGTATTTTCTTGCCTTAACCATTATAACACGTTCAGCTATAAATGGTAAAGATGTTCCAATTCAATTACCAGTTTTATCATGTCAACGTATACGATAACTTTAAAATTATTCAAGACATTTTGTTAAGTGCAATAATATACGTTAACACGATATTGAATTAAAATACTTACTGAATAATATGTGACAGGAATCCGATCGTATATTACTTTTTATTATCGCGTTTTTATGTTCACACTTATCGTATTAAAATATATACTTTATTTTTTTTACAAATATTCACGTAATTAAACTTAGTTTATATTTTAAAACGTGCTAATAAAATATTAAACTGGTATTTTATCACACTGGTGACTACTACCCAACAACAGGTAGTGAACCGAAATTGGCGAATGACGACGACAATCCATGATATTATCATGTTGCACACAGTCACGCCATGCACATACGCTGCTTACATTTATTTCTCATCGCCATTATATTACCAAATTTCCGTCTTCCCGGAAGGTCTCAGATGAGTTCGCTCAACGCTGGGAGCTTCTCTCGGACCCGAGGCCTTTTGGCCGAGAAGAACGCGGCGACTCGCGCCTTCGCCAGGGTACCGACCGATGAGTACCGCAGAGCACTCTGCGCCTCGCAGTGCCGAGTTAAAGAGCGCATACGGGTAATCAGAAGCGAACTCTGGGACCGTCTTACCAGCGAATGTCACCCTGGCACACGGCCTATTGGTCTCTCTCGCGTTCCCTCCAAATCTGCCTGACGCATTCAATGACGACGAAAAACCCGTCAACCTAGTGGTGGAGCAGTGCACGCCGTATCTCGAACATAGCGAAGCGGCGCACGTTGAACACGTGAACCGCGAAGTCGAACGCATAGTCATACTGGCCCTCCTCGATCACCGAGGTCAAAACTCTAATCAAGAGTTCACTGCCTCGAAAATCACCAGGTCTCGACACCATCTCGAACAAGGTCCTCCGATGCCTCCTTTCCCATCTGATATGCTTACTAGTGGCCATATTCAATTGCCTCCTCGAAAACTGTACCTCCCCGGCGCAGTGGAAAGAGGCCATTGAATTTGGTATTCACAAACCAGGTAAGCCCCGTAACAACCCCACCAGTTACCGCCCTATCCGGCTGATCTGAACACGTTGAGCAAGCTGTACTCGTGCGTCCATCGGACCACGGAGCACATCCATCCGGGATGAACAGCTCCCTGAAACCGAGAGCCACGGGTGCGGACTTCTTCGACATAGCCAAGGCTTTCGACAAGGTCTGGCACAAAGGCTTGGTTAAAAAGCTCTACCACCTTCAAGTGCCACTAAGACTCGTGCGTATTGTACACGACATGGGCTTCCAAATTAATCCCGAGAAAAGCGTCGCAGTTCTCTTTGCCAAGGGCAACCCCGGTGTTCTCGCTCATTCTCGGGAAAAATTTCGCCTCAAAAAAGAGGTAACCCTATACGGGCAAGCCAAGGGAGAGATGATGTCAAATATTTAGGAGTCACGCTCAATCGCAGCATGTCTTTCCGTGAGCATATAGCCGCCGCAAGAAGGCGTCGTCCTCTCTCGCCTCCATTACCTCCTAAATAAAAGGAGTCACGTGTCCCTTAGACACAAGGTGACATTGTACAAGGCCTGCATCCGACCGTGTATGACATACGCTAGCGTAGTCTGCGCATTGTGCCCCCTCCCATATCCACCGGCTACAGGTGCTTCAGTCGCGATTCATGAAAATATTATATCATATACCTACTTTTCATGAGGGTCTTTAGACAGGCGACACCCTATACACCGGCTGCATAGATTAATATATCAATGTTGATTAATGCCATTCTGGTATTAATTAACATTCAAATACCTACATCTGCAAAAGAATAATTATAATTATTTCAGGCTGTCAGTTAATGAAACAACATCCATAGGCCATAGGATAAATGAGTCGGCAGTATTTTGTCATTCCTGTGGCAGATTTGAAATTGGATTATTATTAATAGCCTAATATCTACCGTAGATAAAACTGTCATAAAAAATATCACCTTAAATCCTTCATAATCTCTTGTCATTTGTCAACTATCCGTATTTTTGACGTCCATTGTAAAATCTGTGTAATAAATTGCTTCCGAATGTGAACATTGAAACACAAGGGCTGTCTAAAGATTTCGATGATTTTTGTTGGTAGTTTATATTCTATTTTCATTAGATAGATTATTGCACTAAGCCTTTAAAAGAGAAGTCTGAGACCATATATATAATAGATAGATAAATCAAAATCGTTCCTAATTGTAGTAAGAACTTGTGAAACAAGAATCTCTACGCTTTTGATACTCTCGATCACCACTAAATCGCAAGTAAATTAGATGTTTGTGGCATTAGGGGCCCATTCCTGGATTTGTGTAAATATTACTTAACAAACACGAAAAACATCGTAGTTGGAAATGTAGTTAGTGATTCCACATTTAAGACGACGGGGACTGTGCAAGACTCAATGTTGGGTCTTGTTATCTTTCTGTCTTATGTCAACGATATGTGCAATGGCGCTGTAACTTGTGCAAATTACCAATTCGCCGATGACACCCGTCTTTTAGTGACCAACTCTAACCCCGAAAAGCATGTTATTTTCTTTAGTGTGATTTAAATTTCCTTACTAATTGGTGTCACGAATCTGAGTAGATGTGTGTTTGATCATACCAGATTGGTCTCACATAATCGGTTTTGCACTCTGTGAGCCGACAATTGCCGAAGCAACAAGTAACAACATAATGTTTGATTTGGTTATGAATTATTTACCTTTCAATATTATTAATAGTCACGCAAACGCAAAAAGTGGAAGATCTAATTAAAATACCTACATAACACTTAAGTGAAATGCGAAACTACGTCATTAATCATATAGGAATGGTTAATTTGTCATGTGTTTATTTTTTTAAACAAAATAAATAAAAAATATCGGGTTTTGTAGTCATTCTGTAACTACGTAATTTAAATCACTCGAAACGTCAATTAAAGTTCGCGGATGTTTATGACAAAGCAGATAACAATAATAAAAAAGCTTAAAATTAGAAGAAGAAATCATTCTGACACATCGTCAAATTTCTCGTGTCATAACATATTTTATATTTTTTACCAATTTTACAATGGCTAGTGGTGATACACCAATGCACAAGCAGAACATGACGTTCGCTCGCTCTAAACTCCCTATTATTGGGGCATTTGTTGACTATGTAAATACAAGTATCGAATATATTCGTACCAAAAGTTTCACGCGTGCCGAAAGACTACAGGCAAGTGCCTCTACCCATGCGTTGTCTGCTACCTTTATCGCGTTCGTATGCCTGTCATTGGGAATGGTCAGTAATGTTAAATTTGAAGTGGTTACTTTCGATGAAGAACCGTTAGCAAATGACCTGCACTTCATTTTAATGAGCAAAGTGGATAAACTGTATGTCGATGATATAGATGTTTCAAGTAAGTTGTAACATGTAATTTCTACTTGAAATTATGACAAAACAAACATTAAAGAGCCATAAAAATACAATTTATTATTACAACCCTAGTAAGAATCTAATTAGTGACTATTATACACCGTGTCACACTCCTGTTAATTCTACTGACTTGCTAACTTAAATCTCTTCTTTATAAATAGTTTTTTATTAATTGGTAAAATACCTATTATGTGTAGTGATAACCTATATTTATATTATTAAGTAATACGATTTAAAATTTTCACAATATTTATCTCCCTCTATGTCATGTAATTAGCATGTTCGAGTGAGTGAAATACAATATTTTGTTTTTTTTAAATATGTAATTGAATTTTTATAGGGGTTTTGTGGTGTATCGAAGCATCAGACACAGTTGTTATATTATTCAGCACACTGCTGATCTGGAACACTGGAAATGTGGTGATTATAAAATTTCAATAAGTAGATTTATTTTGAACCAGAAAAAGTCAACAATTAAAATATTGGTGATGTAAATTATTATAAATAATATTACTATTTAAATATAGGAAACTTTATTAAGGTCATCTGTTTTTAGGCGTAAGCAAAATCGTGTGTCGTAAAAATTTATCGACAAAAAAAATCACATTTAATATTATAATTCTAATATATTTGCAGATATTCACGTTATATTATTTTATTACTTGTTAGAAATATATATATTTATAGTCAAAAATCGAAATTACAAACAAACATTTATTCCATATATAAATTATACTTTAACAACGGCTTTTCCAAAGTTTTCGCCATTTAGCAAACCAATGAGCGCATCAAATAATTTATCAAAACCTTCAGTGACATGGCTTTTAGCTTGTATCTTACCGGTCTTAATCCACCCCACAAGAGCAGTAATCGCCTCCGGCCACCTATTTACTGGGCTATACCAATTACGAACATGAAATCCTTCAACTTTCAATTCTCTCGCGACAATATAGGGGAGTACAGATGTTGTTTTTGGCCTTTCGCTTGCATCGTGATTGTAAACGCTTATGCAACCACAGAGAGCAACTCTACCTCGCCTATTCATTTGGCTCATTATAGTAGCGCTAAGTTCCCCTCCTACGTTTTCGAATAGACAGTCTACACCATTAGGAGCAACTTCTTTCAAAGCTTTACTTAGATCTTTTGATTTATAGTTTATCGCTTTGTCGAAGCCCAGTTCTTTCTCGAGCCATTCTACTTTTTCATCAGAGCCGACGAATCCAATGACTCTACATCCTTTAATCTTTGCGATTTGGCCGACTATAGATCCTACAGCACCGGCGGCTCCTGTTACTACAACCGTCTCACCAGATTTTGGTTTGCAAATTTCTAAGAATCCAAAGTATGCGGTAATACCATGCATGCCCAATGCACCCACGCCAAGTTCAGTAGGCAGCCCTACGTCTGGTAATTTGTAGACTTTATTGGATTCGTCCTTTAGAATTTTCTCGTCGATCAAACAGTAATCGCACCAGCCCATATGACTCACGACTTTACATCCGACGGGAAAATCGGCGTGTTTCGATTCTGTAACGTTACCTATTTGGAAACTGAATTGATCATACGGGATAGCGTTAAGAGGGTTGTAGGCTCTTAAATAAGGGTCTACGCTGATCCACTCAGCTTTCATTATGAACTGACCGTCTTTAAGCGGCGGCAACTCGTATTCAACAATTTCAAAGTCATCCCGCTTGGGAAGTCCCTTGAAATATTTTTTCACAACGTATTTCCTTGCCTTTACCATTTTCTAGATTCTGCAAGAAATGTTAAAATGAATTTTGTTAAAACTTGTTTGATTTACCAGCTGTTAAAGTAAAACAAATATTATTATTAAAATTATATTAACATTTTTATATTTATTATTACTTCTTCAAACACCTTAAATTATTTATATTAGGAAACAGTCGACACGTAAAAAAATAATATCTAGTGAAATATATTTATTACTCACGAAATAAGCGTCAAACACTGCACTCAACCTTTAGTATAATACCTTCACAGTCACGGACGAATATTAATGACTTATGAAAATGAACTAATAACATTTTCTACGTAAAATATGTGTATAATTAGCTACATACTATCATGGCTATTATATTAATTACTTATGAGTGACTTTTGACCAGTAAAAGTATTTAGTAAAAAGTTTCAAAAGTCCAATTATATATAATACTAGTGGACCCCACAGACGTTGTCCTGCATGATATTTAAAGCGATTAGGATATTAAGCAAAGTATGAAAGTACCGACTGCAGTGCCATCTGCCGGGCTGATTTGTGAATCTAAACCATTCCCAGATCCCCTTGAACACACACAAAAAATGTCATCAAAATCGGTCCAGTCGTTTGAGAGAAGTTCAGTGACATACACACTCACAGAAGAATTATATATATATACTAGTGGACCCCACAGACGTTGTCCTGCATGATAGTTAAAGCGATTAGGATATTAAGCAAAGTATGAAAGTACCGATTGCAGTGCCATCTGCCGGGCTGATTTGTGAATCTAAAGTATTCCCAGATCCCCTTGAACACACACAAAAAATTTCATCAAAATCGGTCCAGTCGTTTGAGAGAAGTTCAGTGACATACACACTCACAGAAGAATTATATATATAAAGACTAGTGGACCCCACAGACGTTGTCCTGCATGATATTTAAAGCGATTAGGATATTAAGCAAAGTATGAAAGTACCGACTGCAGTGCCATCTGCCGAGCTGATTTGTGAATCTAAACCATTCCCAGATCCCCTTGAACACACACAAAAATTTCATCAAAATCGGTCCAGTCGTTTGAGAGAAGTTCAGTGACATACACACTCACAGAAGAATGATATATATAAAGATATATATAATACTAGCAGACCGGCCAAGCGTTGCTGTGGCTAAGGTTTTTGTTATATTACATATTAGCAAACTATTCAAGGGAAACGGTAGGAGAACACCAGTCATGGGGACCACCATGCTTTTTTAGTGGTTATGCCATTAAATTGTAGCTTATGTGAAACGTTGGTACTTTCAACACAGCGCCATCTGTTAGTATTGTGACTATCAAATAATTAACGAATATTTTGCAATAAAATAATATTGCGGGTATAAATAGAAATGTAAGATATCCTATCTTTTAAGTTGGATCGAACTACACACGGTGTGCAAATTTGATTGATATCAGTTCGGTAGTTTAGGAGTCCATAGCGGACAAACAACGTGACACGTAATTTATATATATTAAGATATAAATAGAAAGGTGTTTCTTAGATTTTCCAAAATCCGTATACACAAAAAATAAATAATACTTTTTTATAAATGTAAATGGTTTATCTGTTTAGATCTAACCATTTGTAATTTAAAGTACCTGATAGAACTACTCGTATATTCCTATTTACCTAAGACCTTTAAAACAAATTATATTGAGACTTTAAAATACATATAAATTTATGAACCGTGAATAATTTTAATTAATAAATTCACAGTTTAATAATACTTATAGGTTTGTACTTATTAGAATTACTTAATTAATTAATTTATGAAATTACAATTGACTCATAATTCATATACCGTAGCATACACGTACTTTTAATGCTCTATTTGTGAAGTGTGAATTGGCTCTGCTAACATAATTGTTCGTTTCGGAGACAGTACCAGTACACACGTCATATCAATAATACGGGGGGGTGAGAATGTAAATCAAATCAATGTGATTGGTCAAACGAAAAGTACTGTCGTCATGACGCTGAAGCCGTGATTGATCTAGGCTTGTTGACTATCAAACGAAACGCATTAACGGTCATAGGAGTATATCTAGTACGTAGTGCTGGGAACCCTGACACAGGTATTTCTTACTTAAAAGGGTTCCCAAATCTTACACATGTAATGCATATGTACTTAAAATGATACAGACATTTTTTATTTTTATTATAGTATTAAGTTATTACTAGGGATGCATCGATACGCTTTTTTGCCAATACGATACCGATGCCGATACACTTATAGGAATATCGTCGATACCGATACCGATACCAACGCTTATTGAATTAAAATTAAATTAAGGTAAAATGATAGCATTGTTGTAATTCTGTATTTTATTAAATTTGGTATCGATCGCAAGCCATAATATCCTAATAACTATGCGCTGGCAAAGATAGTTGACTCGAGTAAAAATTTTGGTCTACTAATCAATCCAACAAGAGTTTTTCGTACTAACTACTAACTGACGTGAGTCTGATCGTAAATTATCGTGATTCATGTGCACTTTTCGTCGTACATGTATTTTTTATGTAGACTTTTTTTAGTTTATATGTAATATGTATTTTTGCCCTCCTTTTCATTTAATTATGTTCAATTTTTGTATTGTAATGCAACAAAGTGTTAATAAATAAATAGTGTTTAGCGAAATGAAATACATATATACATAAATAATAATGCTTTGTCCGCAAGCGAATGATAGAGACAACAAACTGAAGCGCGATTTCTCGGGCAACAATAGTCCGTGGCTCGTTTGCAACAAACTAAATCATACAAAATGCGTGTTTACATAATTTTTTAAAGCGAGAAATTTTTAAAGTATCGGTGAATCGGCAATGAAAATATCGCCGATGCCGATATATCGGCAAAACCAAAGTATCGCCGATATATCGGTATCGGCATCGGTATCGGATGCATCCCTAGTTATTACTAATAACGTTTTTGTCTCTTTTTGTTTTATTTACAGCGTTCACCTCTAAGTGAATATTTTTTCCTGCCCTGGCTTGGAGCGACAATGCGTGGTCTATGCCTAAGACAGGCTCCCACCGCCGCAGCCCTGCTTTACACTATGTCCGTTGCTAATGGAAATATTAACCCGTTGTTTCTAACTGCTTTTTCGTTTTTATTCTGTAAGTATGTATCTAAATATTCAATCATTTTAGTCTAGTCACTAGTCTTTTAAAAATGTTTTAGTTGAACAATTGCTGAGCATTTCTATGATCAAAGAAAAATCAGCATCTCTGCCTCCATGCCCCATTGAAGGGTACCCTGTCTCAGGGTAAGTTTCAGAATCGAGACTGGCGCTAAGTCTAACTCCCATACCAAAATCCAATACGTACGGGACGTGTGATACGATTTTAACATAGTATTCTTAGAAGTAAGTATACCTTCTGAATCTCAATCTCACACTACTTAAAACTATAGTGCTTGAAGCTCGGCTTTGGCTGGAAATAGCAAGGCTTGTCTGCCTTCGTTGGCAACGCCGTGATCATGTTGATCTCACTCGACCACCGCAAAATGAAGTGGAAACTCTTTGGAGCAACGATGACGTACAAAGCCTTGAAGTTGGTAATTTTGTCTATTAATTGTTTTGATATGGAAATATGTTTTTTTTTACTTTTATATTTTACTTTTGTTTTAATATATTTCGGAGACACCCTATAATTGTATGATTCTCTCGTCCATCACAATGAAGGCTTTTGGTTAAGTATTGTCATTGAAATTAAGAGCAGTGTTGGCCTAGTGAATTAAGCGTGCGATCCTCATCCCTGAGGTCGCGGTTTGAATAACGGCTGTGCACCAATGGATTTTTCTTTCTATGCGCGCAATTAGTACTTCCCCCTATGGCCGAAGGCAAAGATCGTGAGGAAGCCAGCATTTCTTATACCTAAAAATCAGCGACATATGTCACACAAGGCTTATCACCGACTTTTATATAAAATGTTTACGGTTGTAGCGCCACTAGATTATTATTATACAACTACTTAAAGCGACCTGTGTTCTTGGTTATTATTATGGGGAAGGGGTGCCTTCCAACTTGAAACAATAACTATTTAGCCGAACCCATTATACAATAAATTCCTTATAGTTTTTATTTATTTACACCTTTTGTATAACAAATCAGTATCAAATATGTGTAAAGGGCACAGCCTTGCGATTCTGTAACTCACTTTTCGAACTCTCACAGCTGTTTTCACAGTTGTCAAATAGTGCAGCAAAATAATGGACTTAGTCAATTAAATATTTATCTAAATCGATTTCGCTGTTAAGGTTAGTAGCATACTTAAAATACGTGTAAATAGGTTATTAGTAAAAAATAATAAGGCAATTTTAATACAATAATATTCAAATAAAATATTAACAAGTCTTAAATTAAATTAAAGCGTATCTACCAAATGCAAAGTCTGTACACAAACTAGGATCTAATCATATATACAATGACCGCGAGCAGATTTAAATACATACATTATACAAAATTTATATGTAATATAAAAGTAAACTATCAACATAATAGTATATAAACTATGTTGATAGTATTTTAAAAAAAAAACTCCAATTTATTACATCTCTCTAGAAAGAAAGAAATCATGATACGTTTAATCAATGTAAACCAAATATAGTAAATAAAACCGTACAAATAACATTATAATATACATGTGTATGTTTAAAACATAACAGTTTTTTTAATTATTTAAAAAACTGGTGTAAGTTAAAATCTGTTAAAATAATTAACTGTTGAAATCGAGCTTTCGTCAACTGTCATTCTCATACAAAGGTCTATCCACATATACCGATACGACCTCCCATGGATAGCTTGTATCGACAGATGGCTATAATTACAATTCGTCGATTGGTTATTGGCACACTTGTTACAACATTTGGATTAAGATTACTATCTCAGATGGTGGATTATGGATTGAGAGATAGGTTATTGGGTTCGGGCGTTAGTACACGTTTAAAACGTTTTTGTTGTAACAATGGTTAACCATTGTTTCTACCAA